AGAGCAGGGTTCCCTGAGGCTAGGAGAGCAATGAAACCCCGTTAGAGTTTGGAAATAACCAAAAAAATAGAGAAGGGAGAGGGAGAGCTCTGCTCCTCCCATATGTCCAGACCCTCACTTTGGACTTGCCCCAAACCCTTTAGCCTATCCTCAGTGCCTGGGACTGCCACTGTTCCTTGCTTGCTGTATTACTCCTGAGTGCCCATTCTATCATGGGGATAAGGGCTGGGGCCTCTGACAACTAAGGGGCTGCCACCATTCTCAGTAAGAGAGAGCCCTGTATATACACTGCCCAGGCCTATGAAATGAAGTCAGGGCTTGCCCGCATCTTCCCCAGTGCTCCCACTCACATATGAGGCAGAACATGGTATCCTGTGAAAGCCCTGTCTTAGACAAGAAGCCTCATGGGTTCTAGTTCTGGCTCTACCATTGCCTCACTGTGTGACCTTGGGCAACTTTCTTCCCTTCTCTGGGCCTTAGTTTCCACATCTGTACAAAAACTGTTCTGCCTACCTCAGAGTTATAATAGAAGTAAATGAAATAATGGATGTGTAAATGTTTTGTAAGCAGTCAAATGCTCTGGGCCCACAAGAGAGTGGTTAAATTAATGCTGCCGGAATAAACCTAAGCATATATGGTCAATTAATTTATGACAAAGAGCCAAGATATACAATGAGGACAGGACAGTCTCTTCAATAAATGGTGTTGGGATAACCATTTATGGAAAGTTGATGATATCACATCTAATGACTTCTACCTGCTCTGGGAAGTGGAAGGCACATGCAAAAAAAGTCACATGGAAAAAAATGAAACTGGAGAGTCACATGCAAAAAAATGAAACTGGACCTCTATTTTACACCATACACAAAAATTAACTCAAAATGGATTAAAGACTTGAACATAAGACCTGAAGCCATAAAACTCCTTAAAGAAAACATAGGTGGTAAGCTCCTTGACATGAGTCTTGGCAGTGATTTTTTTGGGTTTGACAACAAAAGCAAAGGCAACAAAAGCAAAAATAAACAAGTGGGACTACATCAAACTAAAAAGCTTCTGCACAGCAAAGGAAACTATCAACAAAATGAAAAAGCAACCTACCAAATGGGAGGAGATACTTGCAAACAATATATCCTATAAGGCGTTAATATAAAATATCAAAAGAACTCATACAACTCAACATCAAAAAAACAAACAACCTGATTAAAAAATGGGCAGAGGACCTGAATAGACATTTTTTCAAAGAAGATACAGATGCACAACAGGTACATGGGAAGGTGTTCAATATCACTAATCATCGGGGAAATGCAAATTAAAACCAAAATGAGATATGACCTCACCCCTGTTAAAATGGCTGTTATCAAAAAGATAAGAAATATCAAATGCTGGCAAGGATGTGGAACAAATGGAACCCTTGCGAACAGCTCATGGGAATGTAAATTGATGCAGTCACTATGTAAAAAAGTATGGAGGTGCCTCAAAATTAAAAATAGAACTCCCATATGATCAAGCAATCCTGCTTATGTGTATTTATCCAAAGAAAACAAAGACACTAGATATGTGCACCCCCATGTTCACTGCAGCAGTATTTACAATAGCCAAGACATGGAAGCAACCCAAGTGTTCAAGAATGGATGAATGGGTAAAGAAAATGTGATGTGCGCGCGCGCACACACACACACACACACACACACACACACTGGAATATTATTTTGCCATAGAAAATAATGAAATCTTGTCATTTGCAACAATATGGATTGAACTGGAGGGCATTTTGCTAAGTGAATAATTCAGAGAAAGACAAATACTATATGATTTCACTTATATGTAGAATCTAAAATTTTAAAAAAAAAGCGAGCTTATACACACAGAGAACAGATTGGTGGTTGCCAGAGGCAGGGGTTGGGGGTGGACAAAATGGGTGAAGGGTGTCAAAAGGGACAAACTTTCAGTTATAAAATAAATAAGTCATGAGGATGTAATGTACAACATGGTGAATATAGTTAATAATACTGTATTGCCTATCTGAAAGTTGCTAAGAGAATAGATCTTAAAAGTTCTCATCACAAGAAAAAAATTGTAACTGTGTGGTGATAGATGTTAACTAGATTTGTTGTGGTGATTATTTCACAATATACACAAATATTGAATTCTTATGTTGTACACTTGGAACTAATATAATGTTGTATGTCAGTTATATTTCAGTAAAAAATGTAATTATGCCAGATTTGCCCTGGGAAATCAGGGAACGTGTTCTCTATGCATTCAGTAAGTCATTCCTATGACTATGCATGCCCCATTCTAAGGACTGAAATCTTCAAGTCCGAAAGACCAGGATATTCAGGGCCCTCTCCAGTCTAGTCCCCAGCCTAGCCCTTGTTGAAACACATTGAACTTGAACCAGACTAAATTGGTTACCCAAACTGCCCTGCTTTTTCCCACTTCTATGTCTTTGCTCACTGAGTTCCCTCCAATAATACCTTTTCTTTCCTCTCTACTAATTAAAACACTTTACACCCTTCAAGGCCAAGATCAAACACTACCTCTTCCATTATCCTTTCCCTCAAGTTAGCAGCTGAAGGGGAACTCTGTGGTTTCTGCAGTACAGTGGACCATTTGCACTTTGGATCTTGTCTTTGTGGGCCACCTTTCCGAATAAAGCGAAAGAATTTTCCCATTGCAGGAAAGAATGCAGACTGGTCAGTGGCATGTGCAGAGCAGATCCAGCCCTAGGCTAATGGCAATTCCAGGAAGGGAGGGAGGGAAGGAGAGAGGGAGAGAAGAAAGAAGGAAAAAAGGGAAGTTAGGAGGAGACAGGGAGAGAGGGAGAGAAGGGTTAAGATACAGCTTTCTTGGAAGCTGCATTCCCACTTGTTCAGTTTTCAGTCAAGATCTAACTGGGAAAACAAATTACCTGGAAACTGGTGGTTGTAATGGAGGGTAGGGGGAGGCTAGGTTATTATCTGGGGGCAATGCCAACAAGAGACTAAAGGCCAAGGGTGACATTTCATTCCAGGAACCTCCTTCTCGCACCTCCTAGGGAAATTTGCCTCAGAAGATTCATCATCAGAATTTGAGATGATCCATTTTCACTCCAGGCCTGTTGTGTGGATGGGGAAGAAACCAAGGCAGCAGGCCTTAAAGTTGTTTCTGCCCACAGCAGCACAGGCAACTGGAAGAACAACAGCTCAGAGAGGTCTGGAGAGCTGAGCTGCCAATAACATGGGCACTTAACTTTGAAAGTTTCTCAGTCTGCTCATCTGGGAAATGGGGCAAAGAGTTTCAGCTCTTCCTCTGCCTAGAATTTGGTATACTCCTACATCCTCGTCAAATGCAATTATTTTGATATGCCCAGAGTATCTACATACTTTCAAGTGTCAACCAGAGAATCGGTGTTCCAGATGGCACAAGGGAGGCCACCCTGGCCAGGCCCCATTTGAAGGGTGTACTTTCCTGGGGTCCTAAAGTGGATGGAGCTGCTGAGCTTGACTCCTAATCTCCTAAGCCCTGACTAAGGGGATGGGGAGCAAAGTGAGGAGTGCAATCCCAGATAACTCACCCTTCAGGAACCCAGATTGAAAGAAAGGTAGAAGAGACCTGCAGCTCACTGCCCTAAAGTCTGTGTTTACAGTCCAGTCCTTCAGTTCTCTTGCCCCTTGGAGATAAACAGTTGCACTGCTCTCCAAAATGATTTATGCATTTGAAAGTCTGGAAGCTGAGTGGGGCAGGACCATGGGGATAGATGTCCAGCATTCTTGCCTTCCTTCCTAAAGTCTCTTAGGCACTAGGAGCTAGGGAGAGTGGGAGAAGTAAGAATGGGGAGAGGCAAGTCAGTTCAAGAACCCATTCCCTGCCTCCCTTCCTGCATGATGGGAGATATTTATGTAGGGGCGTGGGGGGTGGGTCTGTCAAGGCAGCTCCCAGGAAAAGCTCCAAACATCTAAAGTACTCCCCATATACAGATTATCTGGGCTTGCATCCTCTACCCCTTCACCTTGTGTCTTTTTCACTGCTCATACACATCCTCACCCATAGTGGTTTAGGAGATATAAAAGAAGGTACTGTGGAAAGATGAAGATTTAGCAAAATTGAAGGTGCCTGGATCTGGATTTGGATGGTTATATGTGCTGATTGCCTGGACCAGTTAGGAGGACTAAGCACTGCAGGCTGTGTTTCCCAGGCTCTCATATTAGTTGACTTCTAGTTTTCCTCAGTGAAACAGACATTGAAAGCAGATTGAAGGACAAGAATGAGGGAAAGGAGAGGGTATTTCTTCCTTTTCTCTTGTTTGGATACCCATGATAAGCCTGTGATTCTACTTTCTATCAGGTGACCCCTGTCCCTAGAGTCTGGCCATACCTCCTCCCTCAGCCCTCCAACCTAAGGGTGATGTTGGCCTCCTGCTGTCACTAAACTCTGGGTTAACTTCCTGTCCTTGTTAGATTCTCTGCCTATCACCTATGTAACCAATTTATTCTCTGTGTTAAATTCATTGTGACAAATATTTGGTAGTTTGTTTTCCTAGTTATATCTTGACTATAAAATAGACTAGTGTAATTGCAGCCTATGATTCAAGGTGAGTGAATGGGAGACTCCTTGGTCACTTGACTCAAATAGGGTATTGGGCAACAGCCCCTGAAAAGGGTGAATCCCCTTTACTTCGCCACAACCCAGTGTCAGTAGATTGGCTGTGGACCCAAGTTTGGTTTGGTAACAATAGCAGCCAGAGATTCAATGGAGATACAGGGCTGAGCAAGATGATGCTACCCTTATACCTACCTGAATTCTTCAGGACTTGCTTCTAGGTCATTACAGCTCCAAATTCTCTCAAGGATCTTAGTGGGGATGTATAGGCCATTGGGTTAGTTTTCTCTTTCAGTGGCTAGGCTCCTATGCCTGTTGAATGCCAGATCACTCTAATCCTTCCCCATGGCCAACCAGACCCATTCCCCCAGTGAACTTCCCCACCCCACACACACACACCAACACAACAGCCCCCAGGATTTATTTTGTTGAGGATTTTATTGTGGAGGATAATACAGGAGAGAAGCTTCAGACGAGTGGGTAGAGCTGTAGTGCCCTTAAGCTACCTGGGTCCCCAGGTGGCTTTTTGGAGGCATTGTGTGTTTCTGGGCAGGCTGCAAGATTACAGTTGGTGTTTAAGATAGCTAATCAACACAGGAGGAATATCCAGCTGGTCGATGGCTCGTGGCTGGCTGGCGTGGCGCAGGGCTCTGCGGATGACTAAACGAGCCTGTGATAATAGTGACCGTGGAGTAGCTACAGGAAGGAAAAACAGGTCATGAGAAGCAATTCTCAGTGTAGTTCTCCCACCCAAGCTTACATCCATCCTGCCCTGGCTACTGCAGCCCTAATTGCTCTCTCCCTTCTAAGAAATGTCCCCTCCCTTCCCTCAATGCATGGTACCAATGGGGACACACTGAGGCCTAGAGAGGGCATGTTCAAGGCCACAAAACAGTCATGGGCAATGCCAGAAGAAGAAACTGGGCTAGTGCTATCCCCTACCTCATCTTAGTGATCCCTTCCCTAAAAAGGAATCTGTAACCTCTTCTCCACTGGGGCCCCAGGGAAGAAGATGATGTTTTCTCCAACTCATCCCAGAAGGATTAGCTTGGGGGGTGATTTGGGGCCCTCGGCCCTCCAAGCCAGGAGGCCTATTAGAGCTGGGCTGCCTGACACTCACCTCGGGCCTGTAGCAGCAATGCAGTGCCCTTATCATATTGTGAGTTCAGGTCCAGGGAGAGAGATGGAAGGTAGATGTTAGCACCAAAATCAATTAACAGCCGGATGTACTCTGGCTCACAATTATGGTGCAGGCAGATTTCGAGGAGGGTGCGGGACCGTGGAACTCGAGTCAGTAGGTGCTGGTCAGTACAGTTGTAGTCAGGATCTGCCCCATGGAGCAAAAGCAGGCGGAAACAATCAAGGTGACCGTAGACTGCAGCCAAATAGAGGGGTCCAGAACATGAAGCTATGTTCGATGCCCAGACTGGTAGTTTTGCCTTGACGTTGGCCTCTGCACCATGACCCAGGAGCTCCTGCAGGATGGCAACAGCACCATCACGGGCAGCTGTGAGCACAGGAGAGCAGTTGTTGTAGATGCTACCACCAGGACAAGCACCAGCTTCCAAAAGCACACGCACACAGTCCAGATGGCCATGACTGACCGCGGTAAAAAGTGGTGTCTGTGCCTTGACGTCCAAGCTGTCAACATCAGCACCATGTGCCAGGAGGACCTGCAAGCAGCTAAGGTGGCCATAAGAAGCAGCCAAGCGCAAGGGTGTCCCAGGGATGCCCCAGCCACTTCTACTGTTGATGAATCGTTTATAACGCTCCTGGCGCAAAAGCTGGTCCAAGGTATAAGAGTCATTGTTGTACACTGCTTGATTGAGAGCCTGCTTCTCCCCCGTGTCGGTGTCCTCCTCCTCCTTATCGGGCTGCAGGAGGGAGAAGATTTTGGTGATGTCCATGAGGTTCACCTTGGCTAATTGGAGCAGAACTATTCTCATTATGAGCAGGAGGATATGCCAGATCTGTGGATGACAAAAACAGGAGAGACTGAGGGCTCCCATCAAAAGCCTGGATGCTTGGCCCCCATCTTTCACCATCAGGCTCTTCAATCATGGGTCCCTTGCTTCTAACTCCTACTCCACCTTATTTCAGACCCCAGAGATGGCTGCCAAAATAGATCAGGCCATTTCACAGCCTGATGCCTTTGCATATGCTCTTCTGCCTTCCCTTCAAACTCCTACTTCTGGGAAACCTTCCGTAACCTCCTCCTACTCTGCTCAGGGATTCCAAAGGATTACAACTAGGCTTTAGCTGTGAACTTTCACATCACATTTCCACTTATCTGTGCTTCATCAGTGCGTAAACTCCAGGGTGAGGACTCCTGTCTCCATCTTATTATTTTTTTTTTAAAGAAGATGTTGGGGGTAGGAGTTTATTAATTAATTAATTTGTTTTTGCTGTGTTGCGTCTTTGTTTCTGTGCGAGGGCTTTCTCTAGTTGTGGCAAGCGGGGGCCACTCTTCATCGTGGTGCACGGGCCTCTCACTATGGCAGCCTCTCTTGTTGCGGAGCACAGGCTCCAGACACGCAGGCTCAGTAGTTGTGGGTCACGGGCCTAGTTGCTCCGTGGCATGTGGGATCCTCCCAGACCAAGGCTCGAACCCGTGTCCCCTGCATTAGCAGGCAGACTCTCAACCACTGTGCCACCAGGGAAGCCACTGTCTCCATCTTATTATTCCTCTACTCCCAGTAGAGCCTACATCATGGCTGGGGTGTTGGTAGATACATCTTCCTTGGTTCAGAATGTGTGGACTAATGAGGTGGTTCTGGTCTGGTAATTGCTAAGCCAACAGAATGGTGTTTTGTGGTGTCAAGCTGTCATCCCTGAGCATTCTGACATCAGTCTCATGGGGCAGGCCCTCAACCCTACCTCTCAACCTTTTAGATGAGATTCAGCCTCTTCACAGCCCCTCATATGTGACCTCCCCTCAGATTCAGGCCCCATGCTTCAGGCAACAGGGTTGCTCAGGAAATGGATGTTGAATGGCATTCACTGATTAAATAAAGAGGTGACATTAAAAGTAAAAGTAAAAGAGACGTCAAGTAAAACATAGTCAAAGAGATAGTAGGAAATAGTTGAGGTTTCCAGGACAAGTCCTCCTCTCTGTTGACAACTAGTTTTTCCACCAGGACCATTTCAATCCAGGAGTCCCTTCGATTGCCAGCATATTTTTGGAAACTATGGCTTCCCAGTCTCTCTGAGTCAAGCCTTTTCCCATCCTCTCTGTTCCACCCAGCCTGGAGCCTTTCCTCAACCCTCAACTCTTCTCTCCTCATTATCCCCAGGCCCTACAAAATCACCCATGGCCCAATGACTGACTCAACCTAAACCCTTGGCATTTCTAGTCCTGTTCCTAATGCTCCAAAATCAAAGTCACTCATCTCAGTTGGTAATGTCATCAGGGTAAGCTGGTAGGGTTTTCAGAGGTTGAGTCTCCCTCTTCTCCCATACCCTGCAGCCCTGGGCTCAGGGCCTCACACCTCCTTTTATTCACTGTCCACCTCCACCCCTCTTTGTTAGCCTGGGACCTCAAATACACACCTCATAGAATAAACTTTGAGGTGGGTGGGTGGGGTCTCCCTCAACTTTAGCCCCCCTGCCACAAGTCAGCATCAACTCCATATATGGTCTTTTATTTACTCACTTTTGGGGTACAATTATAAGAAGATAATTTTAGAAATCAGGCAGGCCTAAGTTTGCAACTCAGCACCCCCATTTCCTATCTGAGTAAGCTTTGGGAAAGTCTATTCCCTTCTTTGGGATTCAGTTTTCCTCATTTATAAGACAGAAATGATAGTCCCTGCCTCATGGGGCTGTTAAAAGAAAGAAAGCTACCATATACTAGATCTTCAAGGGTGAGCTTCCTATGTGCCTTCAACTTCTCCCCTGGCTCCTCCCCCTCAATCATCTTTGGAAACAAAACACTTCTATGGTCCTTTGTCCTACTCTAGCTACCTTTCTTTTCTTCTCTCTCTTTTTCACCAAACATCTCCAAAGCGTTGTCTACCATCCATTTCCTCACCTCCAATTCCACCCTCTGCAGTCTGTCTCCACCCATCCTCAATCACACAGAGATATTTCTTTAAAAGTCATCCTTGTGGTTAAGTCTACTGGCTGTTTCTCAGCTCTTTCCTTTTCTGACTTTTCTGGGACATCTGTCTCCACTGACCACTTCCTCCTATGTAGTCTTCCCTTGGCTTCCTGGCCAGCACACTCTTCTGATTTTTCTCCCCTGAAATAGTTTTGTTCCCCTTGTTCTCTCCTTTATCTAGAGCTGTAGCTCTCACCTTTATCAGGATGATTTCAAGCCTACCACTCCAAGGCCCCCAGCTCTCTCTTCAGCAAAAGGTATGTATTCACTGAGTTCTTTCAAGTACTTCAAAGTCAGCAGTATCACACCACCACTACTACTATCACCATCACCAAACTAGATCCACATCTCAGTTCTTCATCATCCAACTGGTCAACCAAACCAAACGCCCAAGACTAATGTCAGACCTCTTATCTCATTGTTCCACTCGCATCTAATTGGTCATCAAATCTAGGATTTTACTTCCTAGAGGCCTCTATAGGCAACCCGATTGCTAGTGCTTTATCCAGACCCCCATCATCTTTTGCATCAACTGTTGTAGTAGTCTCCTAGCTAGTTTATCTTTTCAATAATTTCTCCACATTTTGGCTAAAGTGATCATTTAAAAGTACAAATCCTCTCTGTGCCAATCTTCTATTTTAAATCCTTTAATCACTCCCCTTTCTTTCAGAGTATAGCCCAGATGCCTTGCCAGGCTCACAGGTCCTTCATGAGAAAACCTTGGCCAATATCTCCAGCCTCATTTCCTACCACTCCTCTACTTATACCCCAAGATCCACTGATAAGGGAAGAGAAATGATGGCTGTTGATATACATCATGCTTCCTTCTGTCACATGTAACTCCTTCTAATGGGTTAGTTCCTTGAGTCTTTGCTCTTAATAGTACTATAGCAGTCATCACACACACATCACATCATAACTCCTTCTATATAGGTCTGTTTTGCCCCCAGTGCAGATTGGGAAGCCATATATGGAAGTGGTAAAACATGGTCTAGGATTCTGCTTCAATCTCAGCTCTACCAATTAGTAGTTGTGTGATCTAGGGCAGATCATTTAATCTCTCTGTGCCTATTCCTTCATCTGTAAAGATAGTATGATAGTAGTATCTGCCTCAGAGGGTTATTGTTAGGATTAAATGAGTTAATATCAATACATCTTAAATGTTTAGAATACCACCTGTATGTAGTACTCAGTAACTATTTTCACTATAATTTTTATTATTACTTAGGTATCTAATTTCTATGGCTGTTGCTCCCTCCTGAGGTTAAAGCTCTATAACTTCAGAGATGGAATGCACATAATAAATTATTTCCTTTAATTTCCTCAATTTAGAGATGGGAAAACCAAGGCTTAGAGGAGAACAGAGACTTTTTACTAAGGTCACATGGCTGTTATTGACAGTTGTCTCATTAGCAAGAACTCAGCCACCTGAAAAGTAAACACATACCCCTCCCCCTTGCCTCAAACAGTCATATTGTAGCTCTCAGGATCCTCAAGTTTGAGGGTCATACTGGATTCCAGGATCTCAATCATAGGTTGCTTTACAAATCATTTCTTCTGACAGCCAGTAGGGATTCTCTCCTTACTATTTTATTTGGGGGAGTGGTGTTCAGAGAAATGAAGAGGAAAGGGAGTGTGAAGGGAAATGCTGAAGCTCTCACCAAGGTCATACAATGAGCCCACTTCAGGGCCCATATAATGAGCCTCCAGAGAGAGAACAAGGCATGACCCCAGCTACCTTGGGCACTTGAGTGAATTGTGCCTCATCTCATTAGATAGGATAAAAAACCTAACTCATCTTTTGTCTAATCTCACCGTACTGTGGTTTATTAAAGAGTTTCTATGTGTGACCATTTTGTGCAAGGATCCTCATCCTGCTCCCCAAAGTGCAGGGGTTTTAAACACTTTTTCGGTGGCATTGGCCCCTGTGACAATCTGGCTAAGTCTCTGGTCCCCTCTCAGAATGAGATATATATATAATTCTATATATATATATAATATATAGAATAAAAGGAAACCAATTATATTGAAATACAACTATCAAAATATTTTTAAAATTGCATGATATGGTAATAGAAGTTCTTTACCAACACGTTAAATAACAAGATCTACTAATAATTTCTAAGTGATTATGAGTATAAATGACATTTCCAGATCTCTGCTGCAACTGTAATATGATAGGGAATATCTATGATTTCTTCTGGTGACCAAGTTACAGGAACTAGTAATACTACTGCCATTTGCTGCCTGCATTCATCCTTGAAGGAAATAGTAAATTTCAGTTAGAGATTAGGGGAATAGAAAGGTGATTCTTTGCCCCATTTGTATTTTTGGACCCTTTGAATTCTACCTAAGGCCCTCTTGGAGGGGGGTCTGTGAATCTAGGTTAAGAACTCCTACGGGAGAGTGGCTGGTTTCAGTGGGCCCTAGAATAGTATGCCAGGCATTAGTAGACTATTTTTAGTACTCATCTTCCCCCCCCACACACACACTGAGGAGCTCTGCCCTTCTGCCCTGAGCCCACCCTGCTGCATCCACACACACTCACAAGTACTACACAGGGACACAAAGGCAAAACTTCACCCTCCCTGTATTGCATAACCGCAGCAATTTCCCTCAAGAAGTAGGCCCATTTGAACCCCAGAACCTAGGCAGACACAGTTTCCTGGGACAGATGCAGCAGGAAACCATCCTTCCCTCTGCGGGAAGCTTTCCCCACTAACCTCCCAAGCACCCCCAGAAACCAGACCGAGTGGAAACAGACTACTAAGGGTGGTGATCACAGGTCCACTGGCTGGCAGCCCTTAGGGTTCACTCGTCCCTGACAGCATCATCACGTCCTAAGCTCCAGGTACTCACCGGGCTGCCCCTACCC